TAAACTCGCAAAAACAGAACGAGGCCAATATCCAGCCATCTTGACCGAACAAGCTTGGTCAATAAAGGATTTATTATATGGCTTTCGGGGAAATTTTTCTTGCGGGACACGGCGGGTAGTCCCGAGCGGGCAAGATTGCTCTATCTTGCCCGCTCGGGTAGCCAATCACAGCGCAGGATTTTATTCATCTTGCGCGCTCACGGAGCTAGCCATATAATAAAGATATATACTAGTAAATCAATAGATTGGCACCAAGGAAACACAGAACAGGGTTGCGAAAAGCGCGGGACGTGGCATGAAGCGGGAAGCAAACTACGAAGGATGCACGAATCAAACTACGGAAAGCGAGGGAAATGACGGGGAAGCAAATTATGGACAGCGCGGCAAATGTCGTGGGAGATTGAGTTTGGATTTGCTTTTGATTAGCTGCGTGTCTAGTCCAAAACTACCTTCGCTTTGCCAATATTGAAGAAGATTGGGAAGAATTATGAGGGGCAAACTTGAAACATTTGAGAGAACCGTGACGATTACGATTAAAATATCCCACCCGTGTGGTGCTTGTGCCTTGATGAGTTGCTGATACAGTAAGGGCGAATGTCTCACCATGTTTCCTAGAGCGCCTGCAAGAGAAATCACAAAAAAGGTAAGACACAGAAATGAAACCTTTCACCAGTAAGGTCTAGTAAGGAGACATGACAAGAAAAAGCTCCTTCCGCAGAAACTTTCCTGAACACTGAGTTTTATTAACCAGTCAAAGCACAGCGACAGCACTCGTGAGCGTTACGAAAATTGTTACGGCACGGTAAAGACACGTTATATAACTTTAAAAACCACGCTAATGAAAACCATTACGTTAGTAATTCGAAGAGACAGCTGATCCGATCGCAAAAGATCTTTCGTATCACGAGCGACTGCTACTGTCAAACTTATTGTTTCCCCTCCCTACAAAGTCATATCATTCAGGTAATCGGCTATACAAAGTTCTTACCGGCGGCATTCGCTCTTGTTCGAGCTACCGAGTCCGTGAGCAAGGCAACCAGCAGAGGCACAGCAGGGCTCAGTTGCGTGTACAGTGAGTCGCTGTGATAGGCAGCGTTACCAACTGCGAAACTGGCGGTCTAAGGAAAGACAGAGAAAGACTTTTTAAACAGCATATATGATCCTACGTTTCACGCTCAGAAAACACCATTCACCTAAAATAACAGAGACCTACGATAACGATATATGACTGCAAGCTTTCAGCGAAACGCCAAGAAAAGATATATTCCAAAAAGCCTTTTGCTACTCTTTAAAAGCAACACAGAAGAAATGGTTGAGTTGCTTGAGAATAATCGTGCACGACACTACTTGCCATTGCTTACCGCCCGTCCAAGGAACTTTCTTCTTTCGCCACTAACACCCATTTGCAAACCCGCCTAGCAAAATGACGACTGCTACCACGTTTTCCCGCCAAAACGGGAGCCAAAACGACATCGGTTCACTTCGCATGCGCTCTTTCACTATTTTTAAATCTAGTTTTCCTACATCGTTTTTGTTTTAGTTCTCCCCTTTGTTCTCGTCCTTAACATCTAAATCTGCAGGTCTCTAATAACAACAGCAACAACAAACAGTGTATAGAACAAAACTAGTCGACCAAATCACCTTGCGCACATTAGAATCTTCACTCTTCAAACAGTTTATCAACGTCGACAACAAATTGGTTCTGCAAGCAAAGGGAAAACACTCAAGCACATGAAACGCTAAGAATGATTTGGCAGTTGTGTAAATTGGCATCACGCATTAACGGAGCGCAATCTTATGGCGAATGGTAGAGGAAAAGATCTCAAAAGGTAAAATTCCAAGGCAAACGCTTAAATTCACTTTCGCGAACTGACGAACGAGAAATGAAAATCTGTGAGTGTAAGAAAATAGAAAATACACAGTAAATAAGTGATTGCCAAAGAAAAAGACAAACTGACAAGGAGTAATTGCAGGTTTAAAGAGAGCAAATGCCGAAACCCGTTTTTTAAAATTTGTTTACTTGATTTAGAAACACTATAGAAGCACTGAATAAATTCTGCTAGGAATTTCGTCCGCGTTTCTGAGGAATATAGAATATAGCTTTATGACAGTCATGAAATAGCGCTCCAGAATATAGGGAAGTTGCGCTTCGTCTCTGTATCATAAGACTGCAACAAATGCCCAAAACACGCCTAAATCGATACTTTACCTCTGAAGAACCGGACAGAAGACAGCAGAATGCTTCAGTATATTACCCAACATGCCACAAGCGTTAGCAATGATAGCTGCGTTCGGGTGTGATAGAAGATTGTACAGGGGCTCGTACGAATCTGAAAGAGAAGTTGAATTAAACATTACACATGCGATTGCAGTCCAGCAGAAAGGTCAGACCTCTTTCGAGCGAGGAAAGGAATTGGGCGCGTAATTGAAGAGGTTCGCTTACTTGGGGGAGAGGAAAAGAAGACTCCCATTCTGCAGCTTTCTCAAACTTCCCTTTCTCCCGTATACCCATACGTAATCCCCTAATGGAGAGCCCGTTCGTAAGCCATCTAGTTTTGGAAGATTACTAGCCCTCGTTACCACAACAACGTACATGAAAGCTGGTCTTCGGCAGGGTTGGCGCACTGGTGAGAGCGCTCGCCTGCCTGCAATGTGTTCCAGGTTCGATTCCGGCCCGGTGCCACATGTGGGTTGAGTTTGTTGACGGTTTTCGCCTTGCTCCGAGGGTTTTTCGCCGCATTTTCCGGTTTTTCTCCCTCCAAAAAAACCATCATCTCCTAATTCCAATTTCACTAGGACGGAGGAACCGCAAGAAAATCAAGTAAGGCTGATGTGGCTTCCTCTCTAAATATTGTAATTTATATTTTGCCTATTTATTACTTTCCTTTTATTGCGTCGACGCATTTATTTTGCCAAGTCAAGACTCCTAAGCCATTTGCGGAGTGTCAGCCAAAGAAGACAAATGAAATCGCAAAAATGAGTTGAAATCTTTAAAAAATTCTAACATGTTACATGTTCGTACAGGTTTTGTGACATTTAAGGTGCATCAAAACTTCAAAATCAAATAAAACGATTGCTTCAACAACATGGAAGTGTTTTACGTACCTATTAAAATATTCATATTTTTCACAAACCCTAGTCTACCAAAAAAGCGCAGAAATTTCGTTCGAATTTATCTCACCTCCGTCGCCTTGCAAAACTTTCGTAACCAAGGAAACATACTCCGAGGAACTCCGGGCAACATGACTCAGTATCGTAATGACGTCACTCAGAAGAGTAATAGAGTTATCCGCTGACACCAGTGAGGCTAGGAAGGACTCACCCTGAAATAGGACAAACAAGTTCTTTGATCAGATAAGTACATAAGCAAAATGTCGATGAAATCGCAACAGTGCTTTTACGTAGTACGATTTATTGTATTACGTAGGATAGTTCTAACTTCTAAGTCTGTGGACAAAATCCTAATGTGTGAGTATTGAAATGAAAGTTATTTATCAGCATTTGTATGTGGTACTGTTAATTATGCTGTTCAAGGTTTTTCTAAACTTTAAGTCCGTGGAGGAAACCCTCGTTTGCGACCAATCAAATGAAAGCTATCAAGAGAAGAAACTGAAACACCAACAGAAAACCTTTACATCCCCACATGTGATGACTGAGTGAAAAGCAAAATCTTCAAATTCCAGTCAAAGAGGACTTTGTGTGTGGCAATACAAACACAAACAAAGGACTAAAAATATCGGCTGAATTTTTGTTACCTTTTGGTTTGTAACATCTCTTGCCAGCTGTGTAACAAAGATCTCATCGCTAAGTACCAACCGAGAAACCAGACCTGAAAATGTAGAGAGAAAAAATATAGATTAAGATCTGTTCCTCGAATTTAAACGCTAAATTTCAATTATTTCGAAAATAATTAACTGCTCTTTGGGTCGTTTCTTTTTCGGAGCTCTAAAAGAAATATTGTTAAGCAACTTCTGAGAAAATCGAGTGGAGCCTGTGGCAAAGAGCTTTATGCGAAATCGAATAAGCAATTCATAATATGTTAAAGGAGAGAATTGGGTATAAAATTAACCAAACAGGGACTTTGCTTAAAAAAGACTACGTTGAGGCTTACCAAGTGGAAGTTCCAAGTCTTCCAAGGGCAAAAACTTGGACACAAACTCCAACAAGTTAGGGACAAGTCTGCACTGATACAAAACACTGAGGAAAAAGTAAACGCAGAATTGTTTTTATTTAATGCATCATCTATGAATGTTAAAAGCTACTACAGACGACATACACCCCTCGTTGCGATAGAGACATCAAGACCGACCTTTACATGGGTGAGTAACAACATGTAATCACATCAAGACATTTTCATATAAGGCAGGGGCGACTCCTTAGATTTTTTCACCACACAGCTAGACCATACGAGAAAAGAAAAGAAGGTTATATCAGAAAGGTGCTAATCGGCTTGAGTCTCAAGCTACTCAGAGGTGTTTTTCACCCCTCCCTACAGTAAAAAAACAACAACAGTGTATTTCTACTACTATAAACAACTAGACGGCTCCAAGACGTTCTTCCGCATACTGGTCGGGGATAAGTATTTAAAGACACAATATAACTAGAACAAAACTGCCAGTCTGACCTTTGGGTATCGTGCAGAAGATGTTCTTCTACATCTATTGCAAACGGAAAATAGAATATCTTGATTATCTGCAAGAGATGTCAGTCAATTAACGATAAATGAACGAAATACCAAACTACAGTAACTGCTGTTAAGGCGCAGTTTCTCTATACAGCTAAGCGGACAGAAAGAAAGGAGAACTTAAAGCACAGTACATGACAAATTGGATGGGAAATACAAGCCCTTCTATGCCTTCTAAAAGCTAGTTCCAAGACTTCTTGAGAAAAATAAATGATCAAAATTGCAATAAATAACATCACCATTAACACAAGGGTAGGGGGGAAACGAGAAAGAATGTACATGTTGTCGACATGAAGTGTCCTGACTAACTGCAACTCCGATTTTAGTTCATTAATCAATGGGGTGGTACTTTAGCGCAGGTAACTCTCCACAGTCTTATCGAGTTACCATACTGACAATTCGCTGGTACCGTTCATGCGCCTGTGTGGAAAGAAGCACTTTGAGAGTAACGTGCCCTGCCTAAGAACACAACGCAGTGACCCCCACTGGATCCGGAGTCCAAAGCGTTTTAAAACCATTACGCAATCACGTTCTCACAAGACCTGCACCTGTCCAGTGAACATGTCCTGTTTCTTTTGACACACCTCAAAGTACCAAAGAGTTTCCATGGTCAGCCCAGTAAGAAAATAACGCGACCGTTTACGAGCACTCCGAAAGTAGTAAACTTGGCGTCATTACAATACTTTCAAGCGTTACTTTGCAACCTGATACGAAACAACAGGGTCAACCACTTCGGGTCAACGACGGGAATTCGACTCGAAAGGTTCCCGTTCTCGCATGCGTCATTTAGGAACATGCTACGTTCAATACGACAATCTTACCATGTTAGTGAAGGCATTGAGCGCTTCTCCTGTGTTTTCCCCTTTATTTCCATGAGTAGAAGAACCTGCCAAACTGAAAGATGAACAAAATCAACAGAAAAAACGTACAGCCATTTGTCGATCTCTTTTAACTACGCCCCTTTTCAAAATCTCGAACCTTTAACGGAGTCGAAATTAGCTAAAGCCTTCCCTACTGCAATATTACTGACCGTGTTACTTTCTATGAAGCCATACCTTAGGTTGCACGATTAAACTGAAAAATCAATTTACAAAATACTTACTGTTTAGAGAGTTGTTCCACAAATGGTGTTGTAAGCATTTTGCTCAAGCAGGACACCGCATGTGCTGGAGGTTCAACGAGTTTCTCAATACTTTGAACTGGAGTCTGCAAATAAAAAAACAATCTTCTTGTCTTGTAAAGGATTTAGGAAGTACTATATCCAAAAGCACGGACCATTATACAGTACGAAAGGAATGACAGTAGCCTGAAACGATCCATCTGTCTATCAACTCACTTCCTACTTTATGTAACCTGCACATACCTTGGTAAATAAGAAGTGTGTTATGCGTAACACACGCTGCAAGCCCTGATATGACAGAATTCTCCACTGGACAACGCCCACTCTGATATCAGCTTCTTCTTCGGGCATTACTTCTATATCACTGACAAAGAATCAGGAATAAGATAATTACTCCTGAAGGAGTTTCAAGGGTGTAAGGCAAACTGTTGCAATTAAGGCGAGTCACCTAAAATTCAGTTTACTAAAGCTTTTGACTTTCAAAAATGCAACATTCGGAGATCGTAAGAAGAAATATAAATAAAGATAACAGCTCGAGATCTCACACAGTGGGATACTGTCCCATTGTACTACGCACACAATATTTTTAAACCAGATATTTCATTACCGTTTTCAGCAAGGAAGACTTCGGTTTTCAAATCCAAGCAAAACGTTTTGAACTGAATTTTTTTTTATAGGGGAAACTTTCTTCTAGATGGTCGAACCAAGTGGAAAAAATCGTTTTCATAGTTGGTCATCTTACCCGGTTCCTGGCCCTTAATGAAACCCCTGCATGGTTGTAACTGACTTTGATACCATACTGAAGAATTAACTTGCCTGGATTGGCAAATTAGAGGTTTAAGTCCGCATCATGTACACTTACCTCAGAACTACTGATTCGTCTGGTGCGATGTTAAGAACGACACCAACTGCAGACCATAAACTGTTCCAAAGAATGCTGTCAGCTACTCGTGAAGATGCCGTGGAGCCATTATCCTGAAACAAAATAAATCATCTCGCACTTATTCACAAAAAAATTGTTGCAAAACCTCTGCCGATAACTACGAATTAAATACTGTTCGATGTAACGAGATGATAAGTTCAAAACCTGTCTCATCCAGCCCTTTCAGTGCTTGATTAGCTTTTTCTCTGTAAAAACTGTAATACGCACAACAGAGTTTTTCATGTAACCCAAACCAGAATAAAAAATCTTCAACATTTCAAGATGAGGTCCACTGATCCTACAACCTTTGGTACAAGCAACAAGACTGCTACTTTGAGACTGCTTGAGCTACTTCAGAACTAAAAACCATTTCTTTTGAATCCAGTTCACATGTTTTAGGCTGTAGATCTTTGTTCAAGGACTAATCAAAAACATTTACACCTGTAAAGAGCAATTCAACAGTCTCACAGGACTCGTAAAAATTTGTCTCACAGAGTGAACAGGGTCATCCTTCCGTGCCAAAATACTGCCTTTTCCCAGCGACACTAACGCATTCAAAAATTTCTTTATAAACCTCAAGGGCCGCAAGAAAATAAAGAGTGCAGGGACTGTATTTTGCTTTATCAACTACCTTTCAGTGATCTGGCAAATTTTCGAGGAAATTTCAAGGCCTGAAGGAGCCACAAGTTTGATTTATGTCAAACGTACACTGTACTTCACTGCAGACTGACCTGGAAGATATATAACAGACAACGAGTAACAAGAAACAAACCTGAGTCAGACAATGCTCCAACAGTTCTACAATACCATCCAAAACACCGCCATTAACACCCACTAGCATCAATGGTTTCTGAAAAGGAAGTATCCAAGCAGTCAATAGACTCATTTTACACCAGGCTTAGGGAAAACATTCTACTTTGGTAAGGTTTAGGTCTATTGAAGAAGTCTTCATCGGGTTTCCAGAGGGTTTCCCCTACTATCGCAGAGTTTCTTTTCATATAAACTCAGCACAACCATTTTCACAGCTGGATGGAAAGATGCAGCATTAAGGCTACAAAGACTTGCCTCAGGACACGGCAAAATGACCCCTGCCAGAGCTCAAACAAAGCGCGAGGATGGTCACTGACTCTAAGTTACTCCTTGTTTCCTAAGAATTTCATACCGATATGTGCAACGAATCGGTTAATGTGTACCCAAGTGCTGTAGTTAAAGGCTATCTACCCATGAAAAAAGCCGTTCGAAACTTCCGGCCGAGAGAGTCTGCTAAGGATTGTCCGAAGAGTTAGACGAGTCACGCAAGAACAAGACCAGATCCAAACAGTTTGTATGAAGACTTGAAGAAAGGCATAAGAGGAGATTCATTGTAACTTCCATAGTGGTTTTTAGGAAAGCTTTCCATTACTAACCTGTGGCAGCCTGGCCAGTGCCGTGGAGATGACATCTAAAACCCGTTCAACTTGATCAACCAGTAGTCTGGGATCTGGACTGACAAGTTTGGCGAGCAACATGGCAGAGAAAGCTTGGATCACGAAGTCATGTGAGCCGGTAAAAATGGAAGCAACATGATCTGAGCAATCAGAAATCCTACAAAAACAAAACAATTGTAGATGCTTTAAAAGGAGTGAAAAGGAAAACTAAAACTACAGAATCTGTCTTAAACACAAAATAATCAAAGTAAGGTAATAGCAAGATTTGAGGAATGAGAATTTCACGAGAGCTATCTCTGTCAATCTCTCAAGCTGGAGGAGCATTTCTCAAGCGAGAAATAAACCCTTGACGAGGACTCCTAAGTTGGCGAGCGCCACCGAGAGTACATAAGAGTTTCAGGAGAAATGAGAACGAGAGCTTCAATTCTTTATTACTGTTGTTTTTGTTTAGGCTGGGCCTTACATAGCTTTAACAACGATATCTGGTAACAACTCAGACGACTAGCAGTCTCTTTCTTTTCCTTGCGTGGAACGCGAATACAGGAATCCGAAGCAAATTTTAAAGAAGAACGTCCGCCTCATTTCTTTCTCGTTTCCTTTCCTAATTTGCATTATTTTTGAGATTTTCAGTCGCATGCAGGATTTTGGAAACAAAACTGACTGCTTGTAGTCTAGCAACAACTTACTCTGCAGGAATCTCCTCTACATTGGCTACCATGGCACACAAAACACGCAATACACAGCACGTATCCTCGCGATCTGAGTCCTTTCCATTACAACTTGTTAAATACTTGCTCAGTGACGCTAGCCATTTGGACTGTCGCATAAGATGAAGGCTAAAGTCTCTTGATACCACACACAGTTCAGCGACAAGATTCACAACACACAGAGATGACGCTGTATTGTGCAGAAACTGATATACAACATCCAAACAGTCTTCCCTCGATGGCTGAAGAAGTTTTTTCGCTACAAGGCTTGCTAAGTTTCGTTTTGGACTTGATTCAATAGCTGAGTCTTTGGGTAAGGTCACTAATACCGTCACTGTTGTCACAGCAACAATCTGAAGGCGCGTTACTCTTGCTTTCACAGACGCAGAATCTCCAATCGCACCTATTTTGGGTAAAACTACACACAAAATTAAAGAAAAAAATCAGAAACACAAAACAACCTTTTAACAGCATTTTGCCAGAGGATAGCCAACAAATTACAGCCTCGGTGGAAGCGCGCCTTACGGCCACCCCGTTAATATACGGCCACCTCATGATTACAGCCACTTTATTCTGGTCCCGAACAAAAGCTCAGTCACTCCTTTTCGTATTTAAAGAAGCCTTTTAATACGGCCACCCCGCTAATACGGCAAGATTTTTGTGGCCCATTGGTGGCCGGAGTAACGGGGTTCCACTGTACTCATTTTCACTTCGTCGACGATAATATGATTTATTTTATTATAAGAAAAGTTGGTTTCCATGCCTCCCAAACAGTACAGAGTTTTATAAATATTGTCACCTTTGAGTCTTTGTACAGCGTTTGGTTCCACAAGAAGAGCTCCAATGAGGCAATCCACGCTCTTTATGTCACAAGTAACAAGATTGTCATAAAACTCTTCAGATACTGCAGCATCATGTCTGTCAATGGCATTACAAATACACTGAACACACTGTTTAGAAGAGAAACAGGAGAAAAATCCGTTCAAAGTACATACAAAGCATCTCGTAAGTCATATAAAAAAGAAAGGGAGAAAAAAACACCAAGGTACAAAGCAGTTCTACGTCGTTACAAGATTTTTTTTTTTTTTCTCAAACGTTCAAGTAAATACTACATAGAGAGGTTTTCAATTGTGCCGAAAGTAATCCGGCAATTACTTTGGTTTTGATTTTACTACGGTTTTAGATTGGCTGAGAAGTCTAATTTGTAAGCTATTGGTTTGGTTTTGGTTTTACGTCACTCAAGTGAAACCCGCTCTATTGTCAAAATAAGAGTATAAAGAAATATTGGAGGCCCATCTTGGAGACGATTTGGAAGCTCAACAGGAGTATGGAATGAAGTGCGAGTCATGTAATTCCACGGTTTACAATAACCGAAACATTTTTGCTTTTTTATGGAGTGCAATGCTGAATGTTAACATCATATCAATGTAACACATTTTTTTCACACACACCTCTAAAGTAGCTTGTCTAAGATTCAGTTCTTTGTCCTGGCCATGTTGCATTAGTGTTGGTAGACATTCCACAAGGTTCTTTCCACAACTTAAAAGGGCAGAGCTACAAAGGAAGGAGTTATACAGTCATGTGGAAGACAAACTGTGCGGATATATATGAAGTGGTGAGCCTTTTCTACTTAATAAGAACTTTAAAACGGTTCGAGAAAATTTGTTAAAACCTTCCATGGAAATTGCGGCATTCTCCACAGAACTGTTCTTTGGACACCTTCTTTGGAATTCCATCGAATGTGGCCGTTGCCATTCTGAACCGGATGGAATAGGGTTAATTCGTTATTCCGACTTAAAGTTATCATGCACAGTGGAAGAGGACTGTATTTGATAACTTGGCCTTTCTCAGGAATACAGTATCGTGCAAAAGTAATACAAACTAAGTTCGTCGAAATTTATTCGTTCTTTATTCGCGCGAATTTTCCACGAAATGTCGACGAATTTTTGAAAGATGTTTCGTCGCGCTCTAAACGAAAAATTCACGATCTTTCTCGAAAATTCGCGATAGCAAAATTCGAAACAGCGAATTTTCGTGACATGAACCGGCATGAACGACATCGCTGAACAAGCGTATGTAAATAAACTAATGAACAATATTTTTTTTTTATTTTTCCAAAAGTGGGACATAATAATGTCATGTTTTTACCTTTCTCTGCCGGCATCACTGCTCAAAAGAATGATGTTCTCAATGAAAGCTGTTGTCACATTCAGTAGATCCACAATAACTTGTACTACCCAAGGTTGCTATCAAACAAGAACAACAAATGCATAAAATCAGGTCAGAGTACTCGACATACTCTTTCAATTAAAACAAACCAATGTTTGATTGACACTTAAAGGAGCTACGTCACGGTTTGCACATCTTGAAAAGTTTGGCCTAAATTTTTCAGGTTCTTTGTTTGTAATCCGTGTTAATCTTCTCCAGCCTTAACCGTCCTTATTCCTTAATTGTTTATTATTCTTTCATGTTTCTCTATCTTAGTAAACTACTATTTTCAAGTTTCCTTCGATTTAAAGAAAATTTCCTACGTGGCAAAATATCTGAAATACCTTTAATATAAAGTGTGTAACAGTGTGTAACGATATGTAACAATATTAAACTAGACAACTTGATTTAAGTTGTCAGTAGCATTAAGTGAATTATGTTTAGTTTCCAAAGAAACTGTTGGCCTGGATCTGTAGTGTGTAAGTAACGCCAAACAAAAGGAAAAGCAAATTACTCTTGACTGATGTACAATCATGTAAATACTAACTGAAAGTTTGTCATATATTGGCAATCAAGTACACTAAGTGTTATGCAGTACAAGTGATTTTTACCTGAGAAAGACCTTGCTTTTTGATTAACTGTATTATGAGAATGACACTATCCGAAGGAATTCCGACTGAACTTGAAAAGTTTAGTTTCACTTCAGGAGAGCTATGCAAAAGACATATTGTTAATAATTAATAGTATGTGAAATCAATTACATGTTTTGAGAACTATTATTTGGCTGTGCATGTCAAGGCTCTGGTCTAAGAAAAATTAGGCAGAGCTCAAAGGCTCCTAACCACGAAATCCTGGATTTCCAGAACTTAAGCTTATGTGAAAACAGTTCTAAGTTTTTCCAGTCACCTAAAGGCAAAAGGTAGTGGCCTGTGGCACCCCAGCACTGCTAGAGCACAGCCCCGCACGTGTTACAAAAACATACCAAATTGACATCCTCTGATTTTTATCAGTCCATTCTACCTCCCATTGAGAATAGAGAATTCAACTTACCAAGGAGTTGTTAACAAACTTCTCAGAACTCTGAGAATTTGTCTCAAACGAGATGCACCCTCTAACAGACCATCCAAGACTTGACCTGCCACAGTCTCTAGTGCATCCTGTACTTTGCTGATAAAGGCTGAATCAGTCATCAGTTTCTCAGTAATTCTAGCATCTTCTGAAGGGTGTCCTTTTTGAGTTGCTCCACCTGTGGAAGCTTGTTCTGTTACTTCCACAAGATAGTCCCATTCTTCTTCACTATCCAGTCCCTCCTAGAAGTCGAAAAATATGTGATGCATGCTAAAACTTCTAAGACTTCTAAAGCTGCTAGAGAAAGTGTGACTGAAAGATGCAATATTTGAACTTCTTGGATGTATACACTGCACCTGATAGTTTTTCCTCATGCTGGCAATCACAAAATAATAGCTGCCAAAGCAGTCAGTGTAAAATGCAGACTGTGGACTGCAGACTTGCAATAAAATGCATCTAGCTTGCATTGGTGCATATAACTGGTTGTATATAAGACACTTGTAACTAGGTTTGTCAAAATATGTGCGACAACTGAAGGAATTTTATAGATTGACATTGAAACTCACTTGCCCTCCATAATGCCTCTCTCCCTGCCTTCTACTCTTTTCCTCACGTCTCTTGACAGCAGCAGCCAAGACTTGTTCAATAACTGATGTCTCTCTCTCATAGTCATCACTTATTTCATGTCCTGCCCTGTCAGTTGCAACCGGCTTTTCTTCTAGCTGCACCTCCCACTCATCTAAATATCACAATAAAAAGTCAGCTAGGAGATCATCAATTTAGTGGAGCAAAGATCCATCAGGGATGGGGTGGGATAGAATAATTTTAGGATAAGATAATTTATTCAATGCCATACAGGGGGTGGTTACATGTTTGACAAGTTAAAATTACTAATGTTCACATATCTATGTAATTAATTTGGTCGAGTCTAAAAATAGTTAAATAAATAAATATGGTCATTGAAATTGTAGGTATGGATTACATCAAGCGCAATTACTGCTTTGGCAGCCAGCAAGAAGATAGGGATAGGGATGACAAAGTATTAGCTCAATTGCACCTTTTCTTTTGGAATTTTATGGACCAAAATATCTAATAATTTATTGTCAGTTTTACACCTCTCACCATCAACAGCTTTTTCCTGCACAACTCTATCCCTCTCTTCAAGCTCCTCTTTAGTAGTTGTGGGCTTTTTTGTTCCGGTATCCTTTGCTGAGGAAGGCTTATTCTTTGCTGTTACATTACCCTGAGCTTTCTTCTTCGTCTCCTGCTTTCCTTTCTCCTTATTCTCTTGCTTCACTTCAGCCCCTTTCTGATTTTTTGGCTGGGCCCCTTCTTGTTTCTGTTGTAGCTTTCTTATCCATGATGGTCGAACCTCTCCAGTACTACTTTCTTTCTATATGTACAGTATTAGTTGTGTAACAGAAAATAGATTTCAATGCATAAGTAAGGAATTAAATTTATTCACAACTGTAGCCTGTCATCACCTTTCTTATTCCACAACAAATGGGTCATTGTCTAAACAAATCATTACCAAATTTTTGAAGCCTTCTCGACTATTTGCTGAACAGTATAAATTATGTACCTTAATGATCAACTTTCACTATTATCAATAATAAACCATTGTCTATTTTCACACTTAACAAACCTTGTTTTTCCCTTGTTGAATTTTTCCCTTGCCTTTCATAGTTTTTCCAACAGTGCTAGCTGCATTTGAGAGCTTTTCAAACATCTCTGGATCACTAATCCTTTCTAATTCAGCTTCTAAAAAATCAGATCATGGAATTGACTTACAAGCCTACTAGCCAGGATGATTATATAATCATCTCTACACAGAACTGAGTGACAGCAGCTAATTGTAACTGTGATCACAAATGAAATGTTACTACTCTGAATAAATTTGTTCTTTCATATAGTATCCAGTGCTTTCAACAAGATTTCAAGTAGGTGGCTTTCGTGGTGAAGCATCCAGCAGTCAAAGAGAGCAATTAGGGATATCCTTTTTTAGAGGGCCAGTTTTTGAGGTAAACATTATATACTAGTTGAGGGTGGTTCACAAGAGAATAACTGCCAAAGCACCATTGGATCCTGGGTCTTATTGAAAGCATTGTCATCCTAGTTGCAAACATAAGGCTATGGAACCTACACACAAAGTTAAACTGATGAAAGGAAACTAAAACTGACCGTTTATTCCATCTGCCACAAATGGATGCCTTAGCAAATAAGGCCAGGTAAGTCTTTTGTTGGGGTCTTTGGTTAGGAGACCTTGGAGAAAGCTCTGAAACATACATAGTCAACAATGATTAACAGCTTGTCTTTAACAACCTTATTCCTGGGGAATATGAATCAAGCAGTGGCATCATCTTTGCCTCTCCTACCCCAACCTCCATACTCTGACAGTATTAAATCCACTTCCTATCCCACATCTACAGTGTATTTCACCACACCCCCCTAACTCCACCCAACGTACAGAATAATAATAATAATAATCGAATATTTCCTCAGGATAACCCTTCAGTACAAAGTACTGTTATCAACGGGGTCCTGCTAAGAATTAAAACTAATAAACAAGAATTATTAAGATATATAAAATAAGATACATATTAAAAACCGTTAAAAATACAATAGAAATTACAAGTAATAATCATCTAAGGCTTTCCTAAATAAAACTCTAGAATTAATGTTTCTTAAACTTAAAGGCAATAAGTTAAAAATCGAGGCACCTAACAACTAAAAGCTACGGCGTGCAAAATCCAGTCTGACTTTTGGTAGTTTTGCAGAAAAAGTTATGACTGACAAGTGTCACTGTCCCCTGCACCTTCCGTCATTTACCAATCTTGTTTAGTACTTCCCTATGAAACATGTATTGATACACAGCCTGGATTTTACTTTCCTTTTGTTTTGTTTGTTTGTTTATTTGTCATAAAACGCCAAATGAACGTCTTACTTGATGGTCAAGTTCTCCACATACTGTTCTGTTCCTATCAAGGTTTCTTTCATAAGATAGATATCTCCTGTTCCCTGTGAGAAAGAAGAACAATGGAGTCTAACTCTCTACCCCAGATGGATATCAAACTTTATAATGCATCAAATATTTTCGCTTGCACACGATTGGTTTAAACACGACATGTGACTGAATATCCCCCAGTTAACACTAGGAAATAGCTGAGTGATATTCCCCAATTTTCAAAACTGCGTGTGTTACAAAAAATATTGAAGAATAATAAACACAATAGCCTTCATTTTGGCCCAAAAATATGTATCATGGATATTTGTCCTTGGACATTATCTGTTCCTCAAAGCTCACAGTTTTCTTTGCACTATGCTCTCAAAAAACTGTTTACTTCCCTGAACAGATCAGGTCCGCAGACAGATATCAGAGCACGTCTTTGCGCTGAATGGAGGCTATTGTTTATGTAATTTAGAATGAATGATGGAAATGTGGCTTCTGAAACAAGGCAAAATCTGGCCCCTCCATTTTTTAGTAGTGGTTAACTGTTGTAAAATTATCAAAATTTGGTGGAATATCTAGCATCATTCCTCCTTCTTCAGTGATTGGGTGGAATTAGAGGCATGAGCAACTCATAGAAAAGCTATGCAGTAAGCTGAGATTGATTTGCAGATTTATCTTTTGCCTTAGGTTCTTTTCATGTTAAATCATCAATAAAATCAAATATGAATGTGTTATCATTTATCAGAGCAAAAATCAATCTTTCCCGCAGTTCAGTGGGAAGATCTGGACTAATGATTCACTTCTGGTGTGAACTGGGTACAAACTGAGATGGATAGGGATATATAGACATGCATGGGATGGGAAGTGGTTAGTGGTCCCAGACACAATACCCCTGTCCTCTGAACTTGCTGTGGACTTGTGTTACTTACCCAAACCACAAGGGTCGGGGCCTTGATCTTTGTGCGGGTGTGACCTCGAGGCAAATCAGATGACAGTGCTTCCCTGTAATAGTTTATGGGACCGCTACATCCAGACTGACTCAAAGCATACTTGTACGCCTCCACATCTTCTTTAGTAAAGTTATTTGTTTCCTGAATAACAAGGTTGAAGACATTTCTAATAAAGTAAAACCATAAACTTGACACTTCTGAGCAGAATTTTGAGCTTACAAAACAGAGGTTAAATGGCATATTGCAGGTTAGTTCCATCAGAGACATGACTGAGTGAAAGTTGTCCAAAAGTAGAGGTTCAAGTGCTCAAAAGACAACAACAGGAAAAAAATTCTTGACCTGGTCCTAAAAGAATTAATTTAGTTAATGCTAACGATATTTGCAATGTAAAGCCAAGTGACTGCAGTTAACTAATCTCAGTGGGTCANGTCTTTAAATGGAAAGCATGCAGTTCCATTAAGGCAGTCAAATACAAAGCAGCACGCTCTTTTTTGTAAATAGTTATCAACAGTTAAAAATCGAAGATCACAGGTATGACATGGTTGGAGCTTTCCAAATGTCAACCAAATCTACAGTAGGTAGCAGATAAGAGGAAAGGAGAAGAGAAAGGATGACAGGACATGCAGTCGAGTATAGGGGAGGAGAGATCAAACTGACATTATTTTAATCAACAACAGTGATGCTGAAATCCCTGCTACAGAAGCAAAGGATTACCAAACAATACATGTATAAATTAACAAATAATTTTATTATTAATAAATTAAAGCAAACTAAGGTAGTGGTGTGAGATACTGATTCTGAAGAATAAAATAAGTTTTAAAAGTTACAGGGCTCAGCTTGTACTTACCTGAAAATCAGGGCTCATGTTCTCAGGCCACTTGACAGTATCCTAAAAATGGTGAAGTATCAATCATTGATTAAAAATGAACCTAACTATCAACCTATTATAAAGAATGATTATGATACAAGAGCAATAACACTGAGGACGAAAATTATGATATATTTGTGGTTCAATTTTACCTTTGGCATTTTCCTGTTTCATATATACAGTCACATGCACCAGAACTAAGGAAAACGCCAAATTGTACCAAGGGTAAAATTCAATCACAACACGTTCTATCGTTAAAATTTTCTGAACAGATGCCTTGTCTGATTAAATTTTGCTTAGCGTGGTGAAGTTCTGTTGGTCATTGCGATGGTGTTGACAGTGATTGTTAAAGTAGCAGTGGCAGAGTTTAAGGTGGTGGCAGAATTTCCTCTTTTTTGAAAATTTTTATTTGAATAAATTATACACATTATTTAGAATACTAACATTACTTAGTACAATACTAACATTACTAACAATACTAATATTTTCTAAACAATACAAACATTGCTTTCAATATTAATACTACTTACAAAAGTGACGTAACTTACAATACTAACATCACCTGCAATACTAAACATGCATATGTAGAATATATGGCAGAATCATAGAATAATCACTGACGATACTGGTAGTTGTAAGGATATTGATTTTTGTAGTCCATCAAATATTTTTGCTTGCACACGAATGGTCTAAACGCATCACATGACCGAATATTTCCCAGCTGAAACTGGGAAATATCAGCGAGAATATTCCCCAATTTTTAAAACTGCACATGTCGCAAAAATATTTGAAGGATAATAAACACAATAGCCTCCATTTGACTTTGAAAATATGCTCGGATATTTGTCCTTGGACATTATCTGTTCCTCGAAACTCACAGATTTCCTCGAGCTTTGCTCTCCGAAAACAGTTCGCTTCGCGGAACAGATAATGTCCGCAGACAAATATCCAAGCATATTTTCATGCCAAATGGAGGCTATTGTTTGTACATAATATACATACAGTTGGACCCTGCTAATTCAAACTTGGTTACTTTGAATTCCTTGTTATTTTGAACTCAAAGCTATTTCCCTTGGATTTACCCGACAATAATTTACTATAGGCTATTTCAAACTTGTTTTCATTTCCCCAGAGAATTTGAAATAGTGGGGTTCAACTGTATATATGCCAGGTTTGTATGATGCATACCCGACAGATCAGGTTCACCAGCTGAAAGATGCTGTTGGTATAGAAGGGAGGTGTTCCAACAAACAGTTCATATAAAATACATCCTACAGACCTGCGATGAGGCAAGATCAAAGACATAAAAAAACTAATTAGCAAAACAATTTTAAAAAATATGTTGCTGTGTCAGTGATTAATTTGAAGCAAAAATTAATTACAATGACTAACAGTGAGTATCAATGTTGTACAAATTAATCATTAAATATATTATTTATTATAATATTTCTTCAAATTAATCATAAAATTACAATAGCCTCAAGCATGCATTAAATAACATGTTTATTTTCTATGACTAATATTTAATAATTAGTACTAACAAAGTAGTAAAAAAAAAAACAATTATAAAAATACATAAAACATATTTCATTTCAATAAAGTGTACCACCAGATATGGCTATTAGATGTGTTTATTCTCTTAAACTGAAGAGACAGACAGTCAAAAAAAAAATTACACACCAGAGATCAGAGTTGTGATCATATGGTTTCTCTTGCACCAATTCAGGAGACATGTATAGTGGAGTTCCCTAAAAGGAATGGAAAACAGAGGATTTTAGCAACCTACCACTTCAGCTGCTCACTTCAATTCTGTCACACTCTCACAGCATATGATACAAAGGAAAAACAACAAATTAATGGCATTCACAGAGATCAAGATTAAACAGAGAGATATACCATCCTGCATTAGCAAGTTAGTGGCTGATGAATCAAGAGAAAAACTTCCAGTCGTCTGTAGCATGCATACAGATCTGTCATTATGATTTCTGGACTGGTACATAAGTTGTGACTGTATTACTTATATTAAGGAATGGATGAAGGGTGGAGACAGAATGGAAGGTGGGAAGTGTCCCCAAAAATTCCAATTAATTTTTTTAAAGGGTTTATTTGCTTTCCATTGATCACCAACTGGTTTCCCTCTACAATAAGTTGCTCATCAAAATGGCCTAGGAGATAATCAAATAAAAACTAGTAACCTAGAAAATTATTTACTTGTACCTTAATTGATGTCAATACAAGGGTGTTTATACTCATGGCTCTTGCAAATCTAACAAGGTTGAAATAATAGGCATTAAATACAGACAGTGTAAAATGTGTTACTTATGAATTTAAGAATATTGTTTACAGTTCTGGGCTGTTTCTTTCAATCTAGTTCAGTCTTTTAGCCAGATGGGTGTCCAGGCGTCCTGTGGACGGCCACTTTTCAAAGAAAATTGTTTAATTTTTCATATGTTGCCTTATAGCTTGTTCATTTGAGCAGACCCTATAGCATCTTTTGGACACCCACTTTTCAAATTCTGGCTAAAAGCAGGCTAACAGCCTGATCTAGTTTAATAAGTTTTACATTTAAAATTGGCATGACCATGGAAATAAATAGAGCCAATTATTAAATTCACTTATACATATTAAATTAATATTAAATCTTACAACTTTTTAATCGAATGAAGTAGTTCTCTAGACTATACCCTTAGCTACTATACCCAAAATCACAGAGCTTGACTACTCCTCCCTTTCCAAGGAGAATGTTTTGTGGTTTCATGTCTCTATGAAGAATCCTGTGAGAGTGCAGATAGTACAAGGCCTTGACAAGTTGGCAGGCAATCTTTCTGACCTGAAAATTCCAAAGATAAGAAAGTCATTAAGGATTTGCCAACAGTGGTCAGAGGAAAACAATAATTACATGTAAATTGTACATGTCTTTAAAACAATGTTACAGAAGTCCACAGTACAGTCACAGTGTCCTAACGGTTGATGCAGGGGCCTCAAGTCTATGTTTAAGTGTTAGCTAGAGCTACTGTGTAGTGTTATAGGGAATGATCTTTGACTTTCAAGGTGCCTCTCCTCACTCAAGACTAAAATGTGTTTCTCAGTGACCAGAAAATTGTCAGTGATGCCTTTAGAATTACCTGCTACAGACCTAGGAGAGCACTATTATTTCTAATTGTGTAACACTGTACTGTGGGTCTACAGTAAGTGGGTGTTTTTCGCCTGCACCCAAGGTAGTCATACTGTAGATACTGAGTTGTGTCGGCCTAAAAGGCCATCTGTAGGACACTTATAGACTGAGCGAGAACAGATACCACGGTATACATGTACAAACCATAAGTATTTATTTTAAAAAGACAACTCTGTTACCTGCTGCTCTGGAAGAGAACCATCATCTTCTAATACCTGGAATAATTCTCCTTCAGCGTACTCTGTTACAACACAAACCTGTTTCAAAAGAAACAAACTATGTGTTGAAGAATTTCAATAAATTATGACAAATGATAAATAATTTTATTGAGAGCATGAGTAGCTACGGAAGCATCTTGGCCTTCAATAAAGGCGACATAAATTAACAGCAACTTGTCATCACTTATTAATTGAAGGGCCCTTTGTTAATTTCACTGTCTTACAACAAGACAGAGAAATTAACAATGGGCGTGGGATTATGGATCAAGCAGTCAAGGTTTGAACCCTGGCTGAGGACACAGTGTTGTGTTCTTGGGCAAGACACTATGCTCTCACAGTACCTCTCTCCACCCAGGTGTATAAATGAGTGCCCGGGGATAACCCTGCAATGGACTAGCATCCTTTCCAGGGGGGAGTAGAAATACCCCTAGTCACTTCATGTTGAATAGAAACCAAAGGTAACTGCCAGCCTAAAGGGCCACTTGACTTGTACGCAGACTTTAACCTTTAATCATCATATATTGTGGACCTCAAAATTATATAACAGACCTCTTTAGGTGTTTCAAAGGAGTCCAGTAATTTGATGATGTTTTCATGCTCTAGGTTCCTCATGATGTCAATTTCCCTCTGCAAATTCTTTAGCTCTTTTTCAGATCTGCCAACTTTAGGAATGAATTTTAATGCCACAACCTAAAAAAAATTAATGTGATTCAAATGAAAAATTTTAAAATTATTGAGCCCAAAATGTAAAATCTTTGTTATCTCCTGTATGGTTACACTGTACATGGGTCACTGTGTACATGCATAATAATCTTAAAGGATTCAGTGCACTGGTGTACAGCTAGTGTAGTCTTTGGAATATATATGTAACAGGTGTGATAAAGGCAATGCATGAGGCATGCTGGCCTGTCAGATCTGCCGATAGACCTTGACTACTGGTTGGCATGGCAATTGTTTTTTACTTTTATCTCCTAATTAGGAACTATGGAATAGTTAGAATACATCCGTGAAGTCAAATTTAATGTAGAATACTGTAACTATTGTGGAACTAGCTTTACGCAAAACGCCATTTGGTATATGGAATACTTGCTGGAAGTGAAATTACAGAGAGTATAAGTTGATAGCATTAATTTTTTACGATCAATGCAGCCCTGTAGCTGGAACACACACACACTTGGCAGATCTATACAAATGATCGCCTTTCATTGAATTAGCAAAACCAAATTGGTATCGCCATGTTATGCATGAGGTATTTGACATTGAAATTCATGGACCTGATCTTAAGCTATTGCGTCAACGATCAAACCACCTTTTTGCTGTCAAACTTTGAAACCTTCAACAGATCAACGTTAGCTTACCTGCCCACTGTATTTCTTTCTACCTTTGTACACTTTTCCAAACGAACCCTCTCCGATTAGCTGCAAAATGTGATAACGCTCCATTTTCTAAACAAAAATAGAACCTCAATCTATTTCCCTGAGCTTTTTCGTGATATTAAGACTGGAAAATCGCACTTAATTTCGTAGTCAAACATCGCCGCCATTTTGAATGAAAAACTCTGAGGAACTGGAAACGAGGTTGTCCGTGAAAGCAGGGGTAAGGGAGGGGACGGTAGGTCAATGTACTTTTGAAACTGTTTTGTAACTACTAGTTTGTTTACAAGCCATACTTCCATTAATAGTATCAAGCTGTAAATACCACGGCTAAGTATCTAACAAGGAGAAAAATGAAGAAAGCAGTTTTAATATGCTAGACCATCTGCCATATGTGAACAGCAAACACAGCTGTCAAAACCTTCTCATCCTCCAATTCCGCCCCCCCCCCCCCCC